CCTTGGAAAAGAGGGTGCGCTGAGGACAAGGATGGGGGGGAGGAGAGTCAGTTTCTCTCTTCCTCACGCCTTGTCCTCCCAGCGGTTTCAGGGTGCTGAAGACGTGGGTTGGTTGCCTTCCATGTGCCGTTTCCCATTTGGCATGGGGACACAAACACCGGGTTGCGGGCAGAAATCAGAAGCCTTGTTTTCCTCAACCTCGGCCACTCGTCCTCACCTTCCGCGACGCTATGCCTCCTCATCCTCGCCCTTGCTGTCGTCGTTGTGGCCGCCGCCGCCGCCGTCGCCGTCGTCCTCCTCGTCCTCCTCGTCGTCGTCCTCCTCCTCCTCCTCCTTCCCCTCCTCCTCCTACTGGGTCAACCATTGGAGGAGATGTCCCTGCAACCCTGGAGCCTGGCCCGTGCATCGCCCGGTAATTTCAGTCGGGCGCCGGTGTGGAAGACCCGGCCTCCACGCCGAGGGCCCAGACTGCACGGTCGCGCCTGCCTCGGCGAGGATCTCGACCGCAGATTTCGTAGGCGAAAAACATCTCCGTATCCGCGGCCTCGCGGGCTGGGTCCCTGGGGCCGCGACCCTGCGATTACGGAGCGTTTTTTCGTGGATGTCCCGCGCGGGGCGTACCATGCGATCGCGTATCCGCGGGATCGCGCCCCAGAATCAAAAACCGCGAGGGCGCGGATGCGGATTTGTTCGCCGCTCGTGATTTCTTTCCCTCGAGGGCAGAACACGCACCGGCCATGACCGAGATGTCGCGGGACCTTGCCGACGCCGGTCTTGGCCATGGTCCGTGCCGGCTGTCGCCGATTCGCTGCATCGAAGCTGACCAAGATCGGGCAGGGCTAGGACGAGGATGAATCCTTTCGAGAGCGTTCCGGAACGCTCTCAGAGCGTTCCGGAGGCATCGTCCAGAGCTGAGGGATCTCAGAGATTCTCGATTCATCCTCATCTGATGTTAGCCTGGTCCTGGCCTCGTGTTCCAAGATGGACGGTGGGCAAGATCGACACGACGTCCAGATTTTCTCATCACGTCGACCCCCAGACGAGGTCTCGACCCTTTCCCCAGGACCGGTTTTTCATTTTTCCCTGGGCCTTCTAGAAGGCCCCCAGAGGCCGAAAATTGCGAACACCCGCCCGTCGTGATCTTTACATGACTCGAGGGGTCCTGGGATGGACGGCGACCAAGATCGTCACGACGCTTCCGCCCCCGTGGCCTGGGGGGTCTCAGCATCCCTGGCTTGAGCTCCGGGTGTTGCTAGAAGTGCCCCTGGTCCAAGGTGCCCCAGAGCACCCCTGACGAGGCCCAGCGGGCCCCCGAGGCTCCAAAGTGTAGCGAACAGCTGGGGGCACCTTGGGCCAGGAGCACCTTCAGCAACCCCCGACTGGAGGGTCTCAGCATCACTGACTTGAGCTGGGCGCCTCGCTGGGGGCGGCGCGGTTGTGCCGAGACCGCGTCGGTGCGCGGCCAGCCGAGCCCATCCCTGCGCTGTCCTGTGCGCGGCCCCGGGTCGACCTTGTCACGGCCGCTCCTGCCACCGCGTCGTCCTCGTCGTCCTGGCGTCCGTGGCGAGGAGGGAGGAGGAGGAGGAGGGGGGAGGGATGGTCAGAGGAGGAGAAGGTACCGATACCGCCACCCTGGCCTCGTCGTCGCCCTTTTGGGCCGTCCTGGGAGGCCCTCGTCGCCACCGCTGGCTTCGCCATGAGGAGGAGGAGGAGGAGGAGGAGGAGGAGGAGGAGGAGGAGGAGGAGGAGGAGGAAGAAGAGGAGGAGGAGGAGGAGGAGGAGGAAGAAGAGGGGGAGGAGGAGGAGGAGGACAAGTTAGGCGCGCTCGCGTTATATCTGAAATCCTACCGCTCCCTCCCAGCCCTTACACTGGCGTAGATCGCCTCTCTATTCGCACAATCGGATGTCGCAGCATGGCATAGTATTACATGGCATAGCATGGTGTTGAATATCAACGCTTAGCATGACATAGCATGGCGTGGCGACGCCCTAAAATTGGGGGCTTCTGCGGCCCCAAAAATCAACGGATCGGCACCGAATGTGTAATCACTTCCGATGGTTTTTTCGGGAGGCCATTTTCTAGTTGTTGGGGCTTGTTTGGAAGGACCGAAAACCATGCCGTGGCATGGCACTGGGAATAATGACGCCAGCGCTGCAGCGGGAGCACGATGCTGCCGATCGTGTTTCTGCTCTGGCGTCTCGCTAGGGTTCGTTTGGTTTTTGCTCGCAAGCCGTGGCCCGCCAAAACTGCCGCTGCCTCCGTCGACCGCTTCGTCAAACCCGTCACCTTCGAGGACTGCCCTCCCCCGTCGTTCGCTGCTCTGAAAAAGTTGCACTTCGATCAAGTGATTCAGCTCCTGCATGCGATCGACTGTGCTGCGCTGCTTGGCCGGCACACCCGTCTGGCCTAGTCTTGTTGCGCGACGTCCCCCTGTGGGTGCTAGCGGGCAGCGGGCAGGCATGTCTGCCGAAGGGAGAGCTGGTCTCCGACTCGGCCGATGGCGAGCACGAGCCGGGACCGCATTCGGCGAGAGTCCTGGGGGTCCGAAATGCCAGTGTTGAGTTTGAATGTTGTTATGAACGATTTTATCCGTCGTCCTCTTGATCGTTAGCTTCCGGGGATCAGCGCGGCTTCGCGCGAGGCCGAATTTTCTGCCTACCAATGCTGGAAGCTGATGCTCTATCCCGCTTTCACTCAGCCCGCCCTGAAGGTGATGGGCGCCCGTTGCCGCGCGCCTTGGACCACGGGCATGCGGATTCCAGCTTGTCCCAGGAGTTTATGCTGTTCGCACTTGAGAAGATGGGCTGGCCGACAGCGCTCGCTGGTTTGGTCAGCATTCTGTCTGGTGCCGTCCAAGGGGTGATTGCTGTCCGTGGAGATATGTTACATGCGTTTGGGTTACGTTCTGGAATTATCCAAATGGGCGCGTTGGCGGGCACCGTTTTTGCTGCTGCTCTGTCTTCTGCCCCCGTAGATCCCCGCTGCTGTTCCGAAAGCAAGATGCTCGGCATCGGCCGCGCCTGCGCAGATTGCCTTGGAGGAGGGGCCTCGATGATGAGGGGTCTTCTGCAGCTCTATCGGGTTGCGAATCTAGCGGGGAAAATAGCTCATCTGGTACTGAACTCACTGTTCCCGTCCGTAGAAGGTTCAGAAGTTTCTGGGCGCGTTTGCGTCATCCTGGAGCTTTTCTCGAATCGAAGACTGATTTTTGCGTCTGCATCGGGTGGGGATTCTTGGGGGCAGCCGATTGCCAAATATCGCTCACGATGCGCTGCCGCATGTAAGGGCCGACGCCTGCCTCTTCCTCTGCCGCGCTGCACAGAGCTCGCGGCGCGTGTCAGTCCTGAGCTATGTGATGCAGTTCTTGCCTATGCCGCCTTCGCTGCAGCGGAGTGAGCTCGGGCGTCTCCCGCAGGTCTTCCGGCTCCCCCCGGGGGATTCCGCCGCGGCTGATTGGCTTCATCTCCGGGGATTTCATTGGCCGAACGCGTTGCCTCTGGAGATCATAGGTGCAGTGGCGATGGCGCAACTCGCGGTTCACGCTCTGCCTTGGCATGCTCGAGTCTCCCGCCTGCTGCGCCGTTGGAGCGATGGTCCAGGGTTCCTGGGCGAGCTGCGCCGGGCGACGCTCCCTGTAGGTCAGCGCTCGCCGAAGCATTGGAGATCTCAATTGTATGCTGAGTACCTGGCGGGCGCCTGCCGTGGAACCCGTTCTGGGCTCGCCCCGGAAGCCGCCAGAGTTTGCGGGCTCCCGAGGGTCCCGCTTGAAAGCTTCAAGCCGCAGGGGGCCGCGACGATTGCTTGCGCCGAATGCTGGTGCTCTCGACCCCTTGCCGCCATTTTTAGGGAAGCGTCTGCGCAAGCTTTTCTCGTCTCCGGCCTCTGCGATCGCTCTCGAAGACCTTGAGGTTGCCCGCCAGACTTTGCGCGAAGTCTCCCGCCTCCTGGGCCTGGTCCTGGCTTCGCACAGTGTCCGGGGGGTGATGGGCCGGTCGCAGAATCTTGCATCGGCGTGGTGAACTTCATGGTCTGATCGGCTGCGCGCGCGAGCCTGATTCTCTCGGGCATTATTCATGTTGCCCCAGGTTAGCACGGCCCGTCTTTCTCGCTCTCCGTCCGAGGCCTCTCTGTCTTGACCCCCGTGATCGTCTTGGTATATGCGGTTACTGCGCCTCCCCAGTCATAGGAGAAATTCCCGCGGCGTGTCACACCTACCACCAGCTCCGCCCCCTGCCCCCCGAGGTCCCCCACCTCCCCTCCACCGCCCATGATGCTGCGCGAACAGCTGTTCGCGGTTCGCGATCTTCGGCTTCCCGCGCAGGCGGGCCGCGCTGCTGGGTGGCGCGGGGCGTCGTCGTCGTCGTCGTCGTCGTCGTCGTCGCGCGCTTGCCTCCTCCTCCTCCTCCTCCTCCTCTGCTGCTGCTGCTGCTGCTCCTCCTCCTCCTCCTCCTCCTCCTCCTCCTCCTCCTCCTCCTCCTGCCCCCCGCCCCCCCCCTCACCCTCCTCCTCCTCCGCCGTTTTCGTTCGAAGGTTCAGGATTTCCGAGGCCTTCAGAGTGTTGCAACCACCCGCCTTCGGAACGGCCATTGGGTCGACGCGAGCCAAGATTGCTTTCGGGTGAGCTCCCGGGGGAGCACTATGAACCTATTGCATGCCACGGCGCCGCCATGGACGAGGCTGCTCGGCGCGCCGCTGCGCAGCCATGGCATCGCCGATCATGCGTCAATCCGCGCGACGGGAAGCCGTGGATCAATGCTGCAGACGCTGTGGCGTGTAATCAGTGCAAGCTTGCCAAGGGGGCCTGCTATGGTGGCCACAAAAAGCTTGCTGCATCCAGTCCTTCCACATCTAGAAGTCTCATGCGACGGATCTCGCCAAGCAGGTTGCCGACCTCAAGGCGGGGGTCACGCGTCTACGGCAGCAGCGCGGGGTTCATGTTGGGCAAGGCGCTGCCTCTCTTCATCCTCCTGCTGGTGCCCCCTATGGATCTGGCGCCCAGGGCCTCAAGGGGGCCGGCAGCCAGTCTGCCGGCCCCGTGGAGGACAGAGGTGGGGCCAACCGACTTGCCCAGCGACGCCGCATCAAGCAGATCCAGGACGTCCTCAAGATGCTCGACAAGGAGTGCGTGGACAAGCTGGGCAAGGAGCGGGGCCGCTTGGGGGCGGAGCTGTTCGCCGATCGGCCGTCCGAGGACAAGGCCGCGCCCGTCGCAGCCAGAGCGCGGTCGGCCCGTGCCGAGGTCGAGGAACTCCAGAAGGCCCGCGCCGCCCAGCAGCTCCGCAGTGACGAGCTGGCGGCGGAGCGCGCGCAGTCTGTTGAGCAGATGCGCGTGGCGGAGGTGGACCTGCAAGGGTTGGGGGAGGAGGGGGTGAGTTCATGGCCGCGCGGCCTCCAGCCGCGGAGGGCAAGCCGCCCACCCTCCACAGCATCCCCCCAACATCGCGATCATCATCCAGCAGCTCAGCACGGTGGCCCAGGGCCTCGGGCTGGAGGAGGGCATCCTCAAGGAGTTGGAGGACACGCACGGCGCGCTGGACAAGCTACGCACAATTCCTGAACCTGCCACTTCCGCAGCCGGCTGCTGCCGAGGGCTCGGAGACCCTGCTGCTGGAGTTCCTGCGGGAAGTGATGATGATCCTGGCCTCACGGGCGTGGGCCGGTTTTATCCGAGGAATCGATTCGCGCCGCTCTCAACGAGGCTGGCCTGCCCCGGCAGGCCGACGCCGCGGTCGACGCCGTGCGCGCGGCGCTCAAGCGGCTCCAGGAGACGCTGTGCGCTCGTGGCAAGAAGGCGCGCGCTGCCTAACCTCTCCGCGGTGATCCCCTACCCCCTCCCGCTCGTCGTCGTCACCCGCCCCGGACTATGTCGTGGAGTGCGGGAGGCAGTTCGCACGAGTAATGCGGCTATGACGGAGGCCAGTCCTCTGCGAAGGCCGGCGATCGATGCTCAATGCGTCGACGCCACCCCCGTGGGGCCTTCGGAAGGAGCGCGGGAGTTCGATGTGGGGGCAGGCGTGGGCCCAGGATCGACAGGCCATCAATTGGCTTGCGATCCTGAGCACTCGCCAAGGAATGACGGCGCCAGCTCTCGCCAGACATGGGTTGAAATGTACGCGACGGCGAGCCAGTTTCACGGCGCGGAGCCGCCGCCCGCGCCGAGTCGCAGCATGCGACCAGGTACGACTGCCTGTGCTAATGGGGGATAGTTTGGGCCCGCGCTGAAATACCTGGCCGCGCATCGTGGTCGCGTACTGTTGGCCCAGGAGGCTCGCGTCACGGCGCCGCTACTGGGCCAGAGGCAGCACCAATGCCTGGACGTAGGATGGCATGGGCTACGGGCGCCTGCGGTGGACACTGGTGACGGCCCTGCGGCGACTAGCGGTGGCACGCGCCTGCTCGCCCCCACCGACGTGGGCATTACCAGCCCACCCGATGGATATCACGTGGTATACCCAGGCCGCGTGGCAGCGGCCCACGTGAACTGGGGGTACCAGGTGGCATCGTTTTCGTGAGTGCGCACATGGTGCCGTCCATCGGCATGGCCGGCGAGAATGTCGACATCGCGCGGCGTCTTGCGCAGCGCGTGGCGGCCTGGAACGCCTCCGGCCACGACTGGATCTTGGGTGGGGACTGGAACATGGATGACCACGGCCTCAATCTGCGATGTTGGGTCGAGAGCGCGTTAGGGGTACTTGCCGTCCCCACCGCGCGCGTGCTTTATGGCCGATGGCGCTTCCTGCGTTAATTTCTTTGTCGCGTTGGCTAACGTATCCTCCCGTCTTGCGCGGCTGCCTCAGGTGGATTGGGATTGCGGCCCACCTAGGCCGCATTACGCCGCGCATCTTTGCATCCAGGGGAAGGGTCGCCCGATGTGGTGTTATGCCCCTACTGATGAGCCCAGAATATTCGCGGCTGCGCCGCCCGCGGGGCGCGCGCGCATTCCATGCCCGCGGCCGCGATTGGCGCCGTTCTTCGAGGAGGCGGAGGCGAGACTGGGCCAGTCTCGCTCCGCCGATCCGCGCGCAGACAGCGAAGATCAGGAACCCCATCGTGCCCTCTGGGATACGGCGCTACAGGGGATTGACCTCGAACTAGCTGGGCGCCGCGTCAAATTGGAGCGAGATGCCGAGCCTTTTCTTGGCCGGCACGGCGCGCCGCAATCCAAGCGGCGGCGACTCAAGTGGAAGCCCCCGCGACGCCGCCAACGTGGCGAGCCTGCTGTCCGAGCGCGGGCTACGGCCAGGCGCTGGCCCCAGCATCTGCGGGCAGAGCGCGACCGACTGCGTCGTTACTGTGAGCGGTTGAACGCTGTGGTGGCGGTGTCCACCATTACCCAGCTGGGGCGCCTTAAAGCGCTGGCGGCGTTCAACGAGGTTGGCGCTTATTGCCGTCGCCTCCAGGAGGCCGATGCAACTCTTCGCTACCTGGTCGCTCGTTCGCCTCCTATTGCTCGCGCGGCATCAGCATAGTGGTCGATCCCAACTTCGAGGGCGCCATGGGCGCCGTGGAGGGGCGTTCTGGCGAGCTTGCGCGGCAGGCAAACTCCAGCGCCGAGAAAACTTGGCGCCGATTGGCCCATGATGCCTTCCTAGGTGGAGCGCGTCAGGCACGCGCATCTTCCAAGGCGCGTGCAACGTGGTCTTGTCGTGCGCTGGTGTCGCGCAACCGCGTGTATTGGCCGATCAGGCCCTTGCGTCTTGGCCAGCAGTCTGGGGCGCGCATGGAAATTATTCTAATGAGTTGCCTGCCGGCGCCCATAAGTGGGCCCAGTTGCCCACTCTCAGTGTTGCTATGCTCAGAAAGGCCATCCGCGGGTGCCCGCTGAGAACGGCCGCTGGGCAGACGCGGGCCCCGCCCAGAGCTATGGACTGTCTTTCAGGCCAAGCACTGGAGGCGTTGGCGAGAATGTTCAAGTTATTTGAACGGCAGCTCACGTGGCCCCTTCAGCGGATATACAATGAGCTGGTTCGCTTGCCCAAGCCAGACGGAGGACGCCGCTTCATTGGGCTCTGTCACGCGCTTGTGAGGGTGTGGGTGAGGGTTCGGCGCCCGTTATCTGCGGACCGGCAGCAGCTCCACCACTGCGAGGAGATGTGGCGCAAGAGAGGAGGACATACTTCCTCCGACCGCGCTTTCGACCGCAATCTCCAGTAAGAAATCGGAGAGCTACCAGAGGAGTGCACCGCCACGTTCTTCCTCGGTCTGGCCGAGTGCTTCGAGATGGCAGACCGCTGGGCCCTCCTTCGAGAAGCCCATGTGCAGGGATATCCGATGCGGCCCCTATGGGTGCTACTTGGTGAATACCGACAGCCACGGCGCACCCGTGATTTTGGCAGTTGGTCACAGGAGATGGTCGACAATCAGGGCATCATCGCGGGCTGCTCTCATGTCACTTACCGGCTATATGTTTGAACGCGTCGTGCTGCACGGCGCGCGCGCGAGGCAGCACCGATGGTCATGCCGTGCGCGCTGGTTAGTGAAGTTGGACTTCAGCTAGTATTGGCCAATTTGCAGGATCTTCCGCAGTGCGCCCGAGCCGCTAACATCCTGACCAAAGACGCTGCACAGCTGGGCCTTTTGCTGCAACCGCAGAAGTCCGCAGCGGTGGTTGGATCGGCTAGAGCGCGCCGCCTACTTGATCAACTCAGAAGGCGGGGCGTACTTAAGCTGCCTCGCGCTAGTCGCATTCGGAACCTGGGCCACGAGCTTCACGGTCCACGGGTTCAGCGGCGGATCGAGAAGAAGAGGCTCCAGGAGCTTCGCGCCCGCGCTCACCGCGACAAGATGATGCGCGCGGCGGTCGGCCGAGAGGGCATCGGGTCCACGGCGAATGTGGGCCATGCCTTCCGTCGCACATGGCGCAGGGATGTCGGGGGTAACCGGCGCCACCCTTCGACATTTTCGCCATGCAGCTGCGGCGCGCAGTGGTGCGCCTGGCACTTCAGGCGCTGGCGTTCCGGCGTGTTTCATTTCCCACAGAACGCCAGAATACGACCCCATCTACGGCGCTTCCCTGGACCTCGGTATGCCGAGTGGGTGTGGGATGGCCGCGTCAACCCAATCTGGTTGCGGAGGCCCTGGGAGCAGCTCGACGCCAAATTCGACGACCACGCTACCTTTGCATAGGCACGAGGCCCACTCGCTGCCGCGTGGTCGTTGCTACGAGGGCTTGGATGGCGCCTCGTGGCACCGCATCTCGCCCCCGACAACTTGGGCCAGCACTTTGACCTCTACCGCACTTGCCCTGCGGATCCACGACAGAAACTGGCTGCTTGGCGCCGACGATGGCAGCGCGAACGTCTGCAGCGCCACATGTGCACTCATGAAGGCACCGCAGCGTGGCATCGTGGTCTCATAGGCATGCTGCGGCGCGCGTGCGCACTGTCCGATGGTTGGGCGCTCTTCAGGCGCACTGGGCAGGGAAACTGCCGATCTCGCCCAGGCGTGACATGAAGTCACAGCGCAGCGTGCGCCCATGTCAGGATTGTGGCCACGGGGACATGTGTTCTTCCGATGCCCAGGCCTGCGCGACGAGCCGAGGGACAGTGATGACCACCCAGCTGCCGAACAAGGGGCATCGGAACCTCCAATGGCGCTATGCGGGCCGAAGCGATCGTGAGCCAGTCGCACGACGCCCATGCCGAACGTCCTGCCAGCCACCCTCACGGCTTGGGTGCCGTGGGCGGCTCAGTGATGGCATTGGGGGCCGCCCAAGCTGCGCCTTCGCTTGCTCTTGCGCGTGGCGCATGCGAGCCAGGGGGCGGTTTCTTTCCTGATGTTGGAGGATGCGCGGAGGACGATGCTCAAGACGTGCCTTGCGCCCAGCCTGTTGCGGAGGGTGGTTCTATGCCCCATGATGCCGCCCCAGCTGGGATGCACGAGCAGGGCAAGACGGTGGGCCAGACTCACCGCTCGGCCAAGGCGAAATAGACAGGGGGACCCAGTGGTCTGGTAGAGGTTCGCGACCGCTCACTTAAGTCTGGTCTCGCCACAGGGAAGCCGCAGTATGAGCACCACAACATGGTGCGCGGCGTGCCTGAGGAGCCTTCTGGGATACTGTCGGTGGCCACCATCAGTTCCCAGGTTTTTGAGTGGGGAGATGCCCAATGAGACTTGGGGCCCATCTCATACACTGACCGATTAGGTCATGGGTCTAGTGCGCCAGGGATACGGCGATGTGGCTGGTCTAGTGTGCAGCTCGACCGCACCGCCCTGATGCCCAGGAGGGCGAAGTACGGGCCGTTGCCTTACCTCCTGCAGACAGAAGGGAAGGCTGAGCGCTATGCCATCAAAGTGTGGGCATGGATGTGAATGTCAACCATGCCCTTGTCATCTCTGACTTCAAACCCCTGGTGGACGAGGGCGCGGCATGGGCTCCGAGGTTGGCCAGGAGAAGGGCTAAGCACGCTCGCGCGTGGCGTGACATATATCACGCGTCGGAAGCCAGAACCTCTCCACCACCACGCTTCAAGTTGACCCCCTCACACAGGACGGCGAAAGACATCCCGGAGCAGGACTTTGAGGGCATTGCGGGTTGGCTTGGTAATAGCTGGGGGGACTTCTTCGGTAAGTTGGGAGCGGTCCACCACGTGGTGCCAACCACCATGGGTGAGGCGATCACTGCGCCCCTACGTGGGCACCGCAAAGTTCTACAACATGCGGCTTGGGCATGCCAGCGAGTTGTTACGCGCCAGAAGTGGGGTGGGGATGGGGAGCCTGCACCAGATGCGGCCCTCAGACCTCCTGGGCTCGTGGTTGGGCGTCATTACGACCACGACCTGCACGTTTGCGCCGAGGGTGACATTGAGGAGCGCCGATACCGAACGTGCAATGCGACGGCACGGACATGGTCTTCTTTGGCATCGTTGCGCAATGGCTCGCAGAAGACGTGTCAACCCAGCGAGCTTAAACGACATGCTGCTCTCCAGTTCTTTGCCCAGACCAAAGACGAGTGGAGGCCGCTGTTGGACGAACGGGGTCGAATGGCCACTGATCTTGCCAATCGTCTGCACGACCCTGACCCTGCTGATTCTCGACAGCAAAGTGCGAGCGGGGACCAGTTCCCCGCCGCACAGGCAGCTGGAGAGGCACAATACGATGATCCAGAGGGGGCCCACCCAGTGATTAAGCCCGCCTTCGCACAGTTTGACCGCGACATTTTCGTCGCTGGTTAGCGTCTTTGCTGTCGGCTGTGTGCGGGGTCCTTTGAAATACAGGCCCCGCGCGCTGCCTGCAAGCTTCGCAAGCCCTGTTTGGGGGCGGCGGCGGACCCTAAAGAGCGACGGAAGCAGGTCGCGGAGATTGAGCGGATTTCCCGCGGGCTGCATCATCGCCTGCAATATGCCAGCTAGCTGCGTTTAGTGCCATAATCTGGCGCAAATTGTTTTGACCGTTTTAACGCCGGCTTGGGCGCGAACTGCTTTAACAGTTTTAACGCCAGCGGCGCCGCTTCCTCGTCGTCACGGGTGTGGCTGGTGCCGTCCTCGTCGCCGCGGCTGGGGCTCTGTTTCTGGTGTCCTCGTCGCTGCGGCAGGCATGTTTTCTGGTGCACCTCGTCGCCTCGGCTGGATCGTGGCCTCCTCGCCCTCCCCACAAAGTGAGTTGAGGATGCCGCGGGGCAAATTTTCCCCAGCGTGCAGCCTGCCGCACGTGCGGGCTGCCTTCTTAGTCCCGCGGCGTGTTTGACCCAGTCGCGCGCAGGGAGCTCCAACTCCAATTCCTCCTCGTCCTCCTCCTCCTCCTCCTCCTCCTCCTCCTCCTCCTTCCCCTCCTCCTCCTCCTCCTCCTCCTCCTTTCTTTTCGGCGTCGTCCAGCCCCGACGCTCGTTTACCCGTGGCGAGGAGGAGCAGAAGAGGACGAGACATACCCCAGGTAGCGATTGGCAGCGCGAGCAGGAGGAAGAGGAATCAGAGGACGAATCGTAGGAATGTGATATTGACCAATGCGCTTCGGTCCACACCGCCACCGTGCCTTGATCGTGGATGCATCATGCAGGGCTCTCGCGGTCCTCGTGTCGCCTATTGTGGACCTCCGGGGGCGTCCCTGAGACCTCTTGGGAGCCCCTTTGGGGACATCTTAAAGGCCTTCTGGAGGTCTCGCGGGGGCCTGCCGTCTCTGAAACGGAGGACTCGACATGTTAAATCGTGTTCCCCGTTTCGCGGGGGATGTCTTGTGGCCTTCATTGGCCGTCTTGTGCCCTCTCGTGGGGCTGTTGGCCTATCTTGGAACGATCTCGGGGGCCTCTTGGGCCGTCTGGGAGCGTCGGCAGCTCGACCAGGCGAGGGCGCTCAGATTTGTCAGAGAACCGGCAGACAATTGCTGAGTTTGGCCTCTTGTGGCGCTATTGGGCGGTCTCTTCGAGCCTTCTTGCGGCGCGGGGTGGGGGGGGGCTCTTGGGCTGTCATGGGTCCATCTTGGATTGTTTCTTGGCCATCATGGGCCGATTCGGCGCTCTCCAGGACCGTCTTGTGTGCTTCTCGGGAGACTCTTGCAGGTTCAT